TGTATAGCAGTGTATAGCAGTGTAGTGTATATAGGTGTATAGTGTAGTGTATAGTAGTGTATAGCAGTGTAGTGTATAGTGTAGTAGTGTAATGTAGTGTAGTAGGTATAGTAGTGTAGTGTATAGTGTGTAGTGATAGTGTAGTGTATAGTAGTGTTAGCAGGTAGTGTATGTGTAGTAGTGTATAGAGTGTATAGCGTGTAGTGTATAGTGTAGTAGTATGTAGTAGTGTATAGTGTAGTGTATAGTAGTGTATAGCAGTGTAGTGTATAGTGTAGTAGTGTAAGTGTAGTATATAGTAGTGTATAGCAGTATAGCGTGTAGTGTAGTATTAGTATAGTAGTGTGTATAGTATAGTAGTTAGTGATAGTGTAGTAGGTATAGTGTAGTGTATAGTAGTGTATAGCAGTGTAGTGTATAGTGTAGTAGTGTATAAGTAGTGTATAGTAGTGTATAGTAGTGTAGTGGTATAGTGTGGTAGTGTTAGTAGTGTATAGTAGTGTATAGCAGTGTAGTGTATAGTGTAGTAGTGTATAGCGTGTATAGCAGTGTAGTGTATAGTGTAGTAGTGTATAGTGTAGTGTATAGTAGTGTATAGCAGTGTAGTGTATAGTGTAGTAGTGTATAGTAGTGTTAGCAGTGTAGTGTATAGTGTAGTAGTGTATAGCAGGTATAGCAGTGTAGTGTATAGTGTAGTAGTGTATAGTAGTGTATAGCAGTGTAGTGTATAGTGTATAGCAGTGTATTGTATAGTGTAGTAGTGTATAGCAGTGTGTATGTAGTAGTGTATAGCAGTGTATAGTGTAGTAGTGTATAGTAGTGTATAGAGTGTAGTGATAGTGTAGTAGTGTATAGCAGTGTATAGCAGTGTAGTGTATAGTGTAGTAGTGTATATGTAGTGTATAGTAGTGTATAGTAGTGTAGTGTATAGTGTGTAGTGTATAGTGTAGTGTATAGTAGTGTATAGCAGTGTAGTGTATAGTGTAGTGATAGCAGTGTATAGCAGTGTAGTGTATAGTGTAGTAGTGTATAGTGTAGTGTATAGTGTATAGCAGTGTAGTGTATAGTGTAGTAATGTATAGTGTAGTGTATAGGTAGTGTATAGCAGTGTAGTGTATAGTGTAGTAGGTATAGCAGTGTATAGCAGTGTAGTGTATAGTGTAGTAGTGTATAGTAGTGTATAGCAGTGTAGTGTATAGTGTAGTAGTGTATAGCAGTGTAGTGTATAGTGTAGTGTATAGCAGTGTAGTGTATAGTGTAGTAGTGTATAGCAGTGTATAGCAGTGTATAGCAGTGTAGGTATAGTGTAGTAGTGTATAGTAGTGTATAGCAGTGTAGTGTATAGTGTAGTAGTGTATAGCAGTGTTAGTAGTAGTGTAGTGTGTAGTAGTGTATAGTGTAGTGTAAGTAGTGTATAGCAGTGTAGGTATAGTGTAGTAGTGTATAATGTAGTGTATAGTAGTGTATAGTAGTGTAGTGTAGTGTGGTAGTGTATAGTGTAGTGTATAGTAGTGTATAGCAGTGTAGTGTATAGTGTAGTAGTGTATAGTAGGTATAGCAGTGTAGTGTATAGTGTAGTAGTGTATAGTGTAGTGTATAGTAGTGTATAGCAGTGTAGTGTATAGTGTAGTAGTGTATAGTGTAGTATATAGTAGTGTATAGCAGTGTATAGCAGTGTAGTGTATAGTGTAGTAGTGTATAGTAGTGTATAGTGTAGTGTATAGTGTAGTAGTGTATAGTGTAGTGTATAGTAGTGTATAGCAGTGTAGTGTATAGTGTATGTAGTAGTGTATAATGTAGTGTATAGTAGTGTATAGTAGTGTAGTGTATAGTGTGGTAGTGTATAGTAGTGTTAGTAGTATGTATAGCAGTGTAGTGTATAGTGTAGTAGTGTATAGCAGTGTATAGCAGTGTAGTGTATAGTGTAGTAGGTATAGTGTAGTGTATAGTAGTGTATAGCAGTGTAGGTATAGTGTAGTAGTGTATAGTGTAGTGTATAGTAGTGTATAGCAGTGTAGTGTATAGTGTAGTAGTGTATAGTGTAGTGTTTCGTAGTGTATAGCGTGTGTAGTGTATAGTGTAGGTATAGTAGTGTATAGCAGTGTAGTGTATAGTGTGGTAGTGTAGTGTATAGTAGTGTATAGCAGTGAGTGTTAGTGTGTAAGTGTATAGTGTAGTGTATAGTAGTGTATAGTAGTGTATAGCAGTGTAGTGTATAGTGTAGTAGTGTATAGCAGTGTATAGCAGTGTAGGTATAGTGTAGTAGTGTATAGCAGTGTATAGTAGTGTAGTGTATAGTGTAGTAGTGTATAGTAGTGTATAGTAGTGTAGTGTATAGTGTAGTAGTGTATAGTGTAGTGTATAGTAGTGTATAGTAGTGTAGTGTATAGTGTAGTAGTGTATAGTGTAGTATATAGTAGTGTATAGCAGTGTAGTGTATAGTGTGGTAGTGTATAGTGTAGTGTATAGTAGTGTATAGCAGTGTAGTGTATAGTGTAGTAGTGTATAGCAGTGTATAGCAGTGTAGTGTATAGTGGTAGTAGTGTATAGTAGTGTATAGCAGTGTAGTGTATAGTGTAGTAGTGTATAGCAGGTATAGCAGTGTAGTGTATAGTGTAGTAGTGTATAATGTAGTTATAGTAGTGTATAGTAGTGTAGTGTATAGTGTGGTAGTGTATAGTGTAGTGTATAGTAGTATAGCAGTGTAGTGTATAGTGTAGTGTATAGCAGTGTATAGCAGTGTAGTGTATAGTGTAGTAGTGTATAGTGTAGTGTATAGTAGTGTATAGCAGTGTAGTGTATAGTGTAGTAGTGTATAGTGTAGTGTATAGTAGTGTATAGCAGTGTAGTGTATGTGTAGTAGTGTATAGCAGTGTAAAGCAGTGTAGTGTATAGTGTAGTAGTGTATAGTAGTGATAGCAGTGTAGTGTATAGTGTAGTAGTGTATAGCAGTGTAGTGTATAGTGTAGTAGTGTATAGCAGGGTAGTGTATAGTGTAGTAGTGTATAGCAGTGTAGTGTATAGGTAGTGTAGAGTGTGTATAGCAGGTGTAGTGTATAGGTAGTAGTGTATAGCAGGTGTTATAGTATGTGTAGCTGTATAGTGTAGTAGTGTATAGTGTAGTGTATAGTAGTTGTATAGCAGTGTAGTTGTATAGTGTAGTAGTGTATACATGTAGTATAGGTAAGTGTATCGTAGTGTAGTGTTATAGTGTGGTAGTGTATAGTGGTCGGTATAGTAGTCTGCTATAGCAGTGTTGTAGTGTATAGTGTAGTAGTGTAAGTAATGGGGTTTTGGAGTTTTATAGCCAGTGTAGTGTATAGCTTTCGTAGTGTATAGTGTAGTGTATAGTAGTGTATCGCAGTGTAAGTGTTATAGTGTAGTAGTGTATAGTGTAGTATATAGTAGTGTTCTAGCAGTGTTTATGCAGTGTAGTGTATAGTATAGTAGTGTATAGTAGTTGTATAGTAGTGTAGTGTATAGTGTAGTAGTGTATAGTGTAGTGTATAGTAGTGTATAGCAG